TGTGTGACTCTTAAGCTGGAGTGGCTCCAACAGATCCCAGGAACATCAGAGCTCTCTGAGTGCAGTGCTAGGAACAGCTAAGATCCTGCATAAAACCCTCAAACTCCCAGGCCTCTGGTAGAGGTCCTGAGATTGAGGAAGACACATACCACCCATAGGGGTGAGAAGGTGTGTGTGTGTGTAAAATGTTTTCTGTTCTTTTATTTTCTTTTTCTATCTCCTTTTTTTCTTTGTCTCTTCCTTTCTTTTTTCTTTTTCACATTTACTATATTTTTTCTTTGAATATATTTCTTATTATATATGTAAAATCTTTTAATAAAAACTATTTTAAAAAAAAAGAAGAGATCAATCTACATTCCAATACCAAAAAAGAGACTTAACAGAGTGTGCAAACTATTGTGCAATATCCTTAATTTCACATGCTAGCAAAATAATGCTTAGGACTATCCAGTGCAGATTAGAGCCCTACATGGAAAAGGAGATGCCAGATGTTCAACCTGGATTTAGAAAAGGCTGAGGAACATGAGACATTATTGCTGATACATGCTGGATAATTGAGAAAGCCAAAGAATGCCAAAAAGAAGTCAGTATGGGCTTTGCTGATTATAGAAAGGCCTTTGATTGTGTCAGTCACAACAAGTTGTGGAAAGTGCTCAGAAAAACAGGAATCCCAGAACATCTCACTGTCTTCATGAGAAACTTATATACAAGTTAGGAAGCCACAGTATGGATGGAACACGGCAAATCAGACTGGCTCCAGGTTGCCATAGGAATGCGACAAGGCTGAATACTCTCCTCTTATTTATTCGACCTCTATGCTGAATATATATGTTAAGGAAAGCTAGACTGGAAGAAGATGAATGTGTTTTTAAAATTGGAGGAAGAAACATCAACAACTTGAGCTATGCTGATGACACTACCCTGATAGCTGAAAATGGAAAGGATTTGCAAGCCCTAGTACTAAGAGAGCAGAGTGGAAAAGTGGGACTAAAATTAAATATAAAGAAGACCAAAATAATGACAACAGGTACAGCAAACAGCCTTAGAACTGGCAATGAAGATATCAAAGTGGTGGATAGCTTCTGCCTTTTAAGGTCAACCACCAATAGACAAGAAATAAGCAGTCAAGAAATATGCCGCAGACTAGCATTTGGTAGAGCAGCAATGAAGGCCTTGGAAAAGATATTCAAATGCCGTGATGTGTCAATACCTACAGATATCAAAACTGTGAAAGCTGTGGTATTCCCCATGACACTCCATGGAAGTGAAAGTGGACTTTGAATAAGCAGGATAGGAAGATTATTGACGCCTTTGAACTCTGGTGTTGGAGAAGACTCCTGAGAATACCATGTAGAGTGAAGAGAACATACTGAGGGATCATTTAACAAATCCACCCAGAGTTCTCACTCAGGGCACAAATGATCAGGCTCAAATTATCCTATTTCAGACACATTATGTGAAGAACAAACTCTCTGGAAAAGGCTCTAATGCTAGGAAAGGTGGAAGGAAAGAGAAGGTGACCAGCAGCAAGGTGGATGCACTCAGTTACAGTGGCGATGAGTGCGCCATTGGGAGACCTGAAAGAACATGTTATGGATACACTGGCATGGAGAAAATCTATCTATGTGGCTGCTAGGAGTTGAAAACCACTTGATGGCACATAATCAATCAACCTCTTGAGAGAGATGGGACCTATCTCCCCTTCCTTTTGGTTTGCCTTCCCTTTGCCTTTTGCAGTAGAGAGACCACCAGCCTGGCAGTTCAGGGACGGAGACCTTGGGATGAACACTGAGATGTTTTTGTGGGGAAGATGCACACCCTGAAAATATTGTGGCTGTGACTAAAAGGCAAATTGGACATTTCATTCTTTCTCACTTCTAATTCCTGATCAAGTTTGAATTATAAATGTTGTAAGTTATTTTGAACATACAGAAACCAAGAGCCAACCAGAGAAAATCATTGTTTGAACAGAATGTACCCTCTTGGCAGATTTGCCCAGCAAACCACTTTTGCAAGTGGTCATGATGGATATTGGACTTAAAGAGCCCCCTTATGATAAATCTTCAAGTGTAATGAATTATATACACTCCACTGCAACCCACAGGTATGTGAAGAGGGCAACAATATCCTAGGGTGGACTGAAACAATGACATGCCACAAACCGGGAGAAGATCAAATTATAATTGGTAGGCAACAGTAATGAGAATCAGGACATGAACTCCCATAACCAAGAATTGCCCAGAGACAGACCATTTCCTAAACTGTTTTGTAGAACAACATTCTGAGACCTGATTGATAAAAACTGGCAGGTCACAATCCAACATTTTTAGGTAATAAAGTCAGAAACAGAGGGGAGTTAGGAAAGCAAGCTCTGTATATCTATGTAAATGAAAAAGGTGTGTTAATTTGTTACTTTTTCTCACTATCCTTTCTAGAATGGGAACTCTGCTTAGAACCAAGGAGCTACAAGAATTGTGGTAAGTATCCAGTTACAGACAATCTCTCTGCTTACACTAGTTGGGAAAGTCATGTAGGCTAGGGATCTGTACCTCTAATTAGTTGTGCTCAAACTAAGAAAAGTACTAAAGGGACTATATTCAAGCTGTGATTTAGTAATGTATTGTACTACATACTGTTCCTTTCTGTGGTGATTGTGCTCACTAGAGCCAAAAAATCTTGAGGAGGAGGAAAAAGGGCTTTCGGTCTTTTTGATTCCTAACATTAAACATATGTTTTCAAATATGCAAGCTAAGCTCTATCTGGTCCAGCTAAACAACATTTTCATCTTTTATTTAATAACTTTTTTCCTAATCCTTTGTCCATTCTTTGTATTTATTTATAGCCTATAATACACCTGTGCATCCTTGTTTCCTGCTTCTTGACAAAAAAAGATTTAACTAGAAGAAAAATAACTTTCCAATATCCTGTTTGGTTAACAGGTTCTGTTCATGAGAAAGAGGGTCCATTTGTCTTAAGTTCAACACTGATTTCTAAAATGATCACAGAACTTGGGTGCGCCAATTCAGACATGGACACATGCCGTTAGGGGGAATGTGACTGGAAATGGCTATTGCTGGGTACGGAATCTAGTCAGGATTCCTAGATCAGGGATGCAGATCCCAACCCTGAATCCAAGAAGGCTTCTGTGGGCATGGGAAGCCTTTCAGAAGGAACCTTCCCTAGTTTTCAGGAGAGTAAAAGGAGAGGAACTTTCAGACTTGCAAGATTCTGTTAATGTGGCCTTAAGGTCATGATAACAGAATCTTGCAAGTCTCAAAGTTCCTCTCCTTTTACTCTCCGGAAAACTAGGGAGAGTTCTTCTGAAAGGCTTCCCATGCACGCCCCTCATCTCCTTCTGTGGATGGAGATATCTTTTACATGATGGTTGTCCAGTCTGTGGCTCTTCCCCATCTCCCAAGGTCATTCCCACATACCATTACACCATCCCAATACTTGTTCTTTAGATGATTTTTCTCAATGATCGTTTGTAAAGAAAAACAGAGCAAGTAAAACTTCAAAATAAGGTTTGCTATATTGTTAATGAGAATGAATAGTTTGAATAATGTCTGCTGAAATGGAAAAGGTGCCTCAGTTAATTCTTGCACTAGAGGAAAGAAGAAGGGGAGGCAGGACAAGTTATTTTAACCCCTCCCTCAAACTCTGGAGCCTCTTCCATCAATCCAGAGTGGGAGGTTGAAAGAGGCTTGAATTTCTCCTTCCTCCCATGGAATTATCTCCAAGAGGAAACAGATGCTTTTGCCTCAAGAAGAAATCAGTCCTCAGAATATAGGGATTTCCAGAAAAGACTGCATAGACATGTTCTTAATTTCTGTGATTTCCTACAGACATTCCTAGATACCTTCTCGCCCCTCGCAGCTCCCCGGACGAAATCCTCTCACCTGCCTCTCCCGCAGCTCCTCCTCGCCGGCGGCTTTTCTCCGCAACAAGCCCTCGGCCCCGGC